CATCGGAACTGGATCCGGCATCTACTACCGCTTGCCTGCCAACGCCTGAACCCAGCGTGCTAAACAAGTGCAGAATTGCTTGCATAGTCAACAGCCTCTCCAAATCTCTGCTTGGTGCTGCATCCTCCGCTACAATTCAACGACAGCTAATGTACACACCGACACCCTTCAAAACAATCCCCGCCAGATCGCATGCGTTGCCTCTCCTTTGGGCATCCCGCCCCTGTGGGTACATCCTTGTGGATGCGCACCGCTGCAAAATTGACGGTGTATCTGCACGTAGAACGGCTCCACAGAAAGTACCTTCCGTGTCTAAACTGAGGCCACCACAACTACACCTGCGTTCCCTGGTGCCAGCTTATTCCTACTCGTTCTGCAGAAAGCCGTCAGTGCTCACCCATAAGTTCACCAGCACAAATGTTATCCCTAAGAGTCGCCCACCCGCCATTCCACCGTGGCCATGCGGCAGAACATGTAGGAAGCAAAGTTTAACAGCCCACCGAGTTACCTGTTCGGCCGTTGTGCTCACACGAGCTGTACTCTTCACAGTTCCTCTTCTCAAGTTGCAAATAAGTGCGACACAACACACCGCCATGAGTTGTCGCATCCAACATGTTGCACGCGGAGACCCCATTTGAACGTTACACAACTTGCGTGGCCGCCTCCACATGGACTCAGCTAGCTTATCCGTCAGATCGTGGTCGTTCTTCCCCTGCTGCTACTCTCCCTGGTGTCGCGCTTGGCACTATTTCCTAATCCTAAGGATCTAATCCCTCCACTCACCAGCCGTGGGCACGCAATCGCTATCTTGCCCAGAACAGCTAGTGCCAAACCTGAAAACTCTCGAGAGCAACCCCCGGAGGCACCTGTGGAAGACTTGCTGTAAACTCGACGACCCGTCAAACTATCTATTCCACCATTTTGCGAATCCAATCAAAACACGAGGAAGGCTACACCAGATGCGACGAAGGGTGCCGTACCATCTGGTGCAAGCCATATGCTTCGAGTGAC